TTTGGGACTGGACATGGGATATCGTACTGCCCGGGCTGAAATGGTGGAGCCCGTTGAATGGCATTTTTTGTCCGGACCGGACAAATAGGGGCGGAATGGGGGAGCCTGTTGGAGATGCGCTTATAGTTTTCTTGTGAGTTGTGAAGCCTTCACATGAAATGCCGAGTAGAAATGCAGAATGAAATATGTGGGTTATATACTTCCACCTTTGTTGCTCATTCTAGAACCTTTATACCACAAATACTTTTTAGCATTGCTGTCTATATACATTTTCTTACCGTAGCTTCCGGCATTTGATTTTGACTAAATAAAAGGCTATCAGAGCATTTCTGCTCCACAGTTAGGTTGTATGGAGTATTTCTTGGCGATATCCGAATGACACTTTCATTTCAGCAGCTGTCCTTTTATAACCAATATTTACCAAATGCTAATACATTCAACCTTTTAGATTATTACCGTGTTATGAGTCAACAGAATTATATTATCTAGCTAATGATTAAATAGATGTGCCATATCCCTCTATTCTGAACATGTGATTGTTCGGCTGGTGCCTGGGGACTCCGTGAGCTGCTCCTAAGGTCGCTCACCCCAGACACTTAGTCCTTCTCCTGGGCGAGCTGGTCATGTATATTTGTGTCTGTGTAACAATCCTTTACTAGCTTATTTCAGTGTGTGTGGGTGTGGCGTGTGTGTTTGAGGCGAGGGTCTTTATGCCCTCTCCTCTGTACATTTCCTTCAACTTAATGAAATAACAGGCAGCTCTCCTGCTTGTTCTATTATTTACTTTGCTATTGTTGTCAAATGCCTTCCAGTTGCCTCAAAGTGCTGCCCGCAAGATCCTGTCAGCAGCGCCACCAGCAGAATCTAATTCATTCCGCGTTGACTTCCGGTCTTCACATGTTCACTACCTTAATAACTTGGAGGAAGATGCCTTGTATAAAAGGTGGCGAAGCAACCTCAATGAGGTCTGTTCACTTATCTTTTATCAACATATTGAACGGAGATTGTCATTTGACCGTTGCTTCTGTGGCAAGTCAAATGAGGAACTTGAATTCAAATATATTATTTTCATGCTTTAGGGGCATAAGGGAATTGCATGTATGTCTTTAAATCTTGTCCATAAGATATCTTAAACAGCAGTATCGCCATGGTTTCACTTATCGTCAATTTTTTCTAGCATGGTTGCTATTGGTTTGTTGCAATGCTGTTACGTTTTTAATTTTCTCTATCATCTATGGAAAAGTTCATTGACTATCTCTGTTGGGGTTCTAACTGTAAGTAGTTTATGCAATACACCATTTATTTGGCTGTTCCTCCCCATACCCTGGTTAAATTGTATCACATAACTACTTGCAATCTTTAATGATTATCTCTTCTTTTTTTACTTCTTTCTTTGTAGCTATTGATGCCAGTGTACCCTGGTCAGATGCGTTACATCCGTAAAAATTTGTTCCATGCTGTGTATGTGTTCGATCCAGCTTCAGCCTGTGGTGCAGAGGCTAGTCTCTTTCTTACCTTTTCTCTTAGTACGCATTTGTTTTTCACACACTCTTTATGCTGTGCTCATTTATTGGCTTGGTATTTCCATTTCACTTGAAACTTTACAGACCATTGACACAATCCTGTCTCTGCACCAAGATAGTGTCCCTGTAAGGTTTGGTATCATAATGTACTCTTCTAGACTCATAAATGTTATTGAAGAAAATGATGGATCCAAGAGCGATGAAGACACTTCCACTTTGGTAATCATGTTTTCTGTATTTCATTACTGTGATTTGTTGGGAGCTCTTTGCTTGGATGTATACAACAGCAAATTGGTTTTACATCATTGCTACCTATGTCTGGGACAATTTCTACCTCTCTTTTTCTAGCCCTTGTCATTACTAGTGCTTTTTGGGTACATGAAATAATAGAAGCACATAATTACACTCGATTGCATATTATCATCATGATGTCCAGCTTTTTCACAGCAAGGATTTGTATCATAATACTATATATTAAAGCAACATTAATATGGTCTTCCAGCTTCACATAGGTTCCTTTCTTACACTTGTAGGGTGATACTAGTGTAAACTTGATATTTGGGATAACTACCTTGCAGAGGATGGCTACACACCCTCATAGAATGAGGAGATAAACTAAACTGGGATGATGAAATTTAGATGGGATATGGATAATTCTTTTTGCTTGATCTTGTAAGTTGCCATAGCCATTATAGGCATGCTTGATTTATCCCTTAGGACTGAACTTGATCTCACTCAAAACTCTCAAGCATAACTTTGTAACCAACTAATAACCTATCCCTTTAACCATCTAATCAACTAACTAATCTATCCCATTTCCGTGCATGCTATTTTCACATGTGCAGCACATGGCACATGCTGGACTTAGCATGTAACTAGAAAGGAAGAACATTGGGCCAGTGTAAAACTTATTAATCTATGTTATATTCCTGTGACACAATTCTCTAAAACTTACACTGGATTATGACTACTTAATTGCATAGCGTCATTATTCCTGTGACATAATTCTCTAAAACTTGCTCTCCTATCCATTCATACCGCGCCCCCAACTAATGTATTTTCTTTTGTACAGATAATGAGGCTTTTCTTGTACATCAAGGAGACATACTCGACACAATTGGCATTCCAATTCCTAAGCGATGTGAGTTAGCTCACCAAATTTGAATCAGTTATAAGCTTAACGATTCTAGCCTGTCTGCTGATAATCTTTTGCGTTGCTGGGTTATGTGCATTTTTATTATTCGCAGCGCTGCTATCTGTTAGACGCGTGTATATTAGCTGTGTGATCACCATTGTATAAGGGGTTTCTTGCATACATGCCTTGTGTCATTTATACATTTTGGTCTAGAGCCACATAATGGATGAAAATGCTATTCATAAGTTATAACATGGTATTGTAGAAATGTAGAATTGCATGCACCAACCAGTTCACCCAAAAGTTCAAGCTGATGGTAAAAGGTGGGCACTGCGCTTATACTTCAACACCCCCTCTCATGTGTGGCTATGTCAGGTCTAAACGCGGGTACCAGCCAGTTCACCCAAAAGCTCAGGCTGAATAACTGATGGGAAAAAGCGGGCAATGTACTTATCCTTCAACAGGTATAAGAGGGAAACTAGGGCTTTCTCCCGCCCTAAGGTTTCCTGATGGCAGCCACGGATGCTCCTCCCACCACCATCATCATTACACTTGCGCCGCTTGTTTTTTTGGCCACTACCATCAGATCGATCTCCGCCGTCTTCATTGTTTTAGCCTCGCCAATCTCTGCTGGCTTTGTCTGGCCAGGCTCATCCCCAGCTGGTGCTCTCCCCAAC